CGCCCCATGCAGCATCCAAAGCCAGCACCATGATGAAATGATGTCAAATTGGTGTGTGCATTGTCGCGCTGCCGTGTCCGTGTGAAGTAAAACAGCCCTCAGGCACCTCCTGGTGGATGGAACTGTGGAGGGACAGACCTCTGCTGGCACGGCTTGAATTCAGTGCCCCCAACGCAAATGCCCCATACACCACCTGCCCGATCGCCCACACTCCATAAAAACCATAATCAACACGTTCACACTGAAACGCTCAAAGAAACGCACATCCTCACCCTAACAGAGTTCCACCAGAGAGTATTAAATCAGATTAAACATTCCACAATGCGGACTACATCTAAACTCGCCTCCTACTGTCAAATCCAAACCACGAGAACCCGAACACAGACTTGAACCTGCTGTCAGAAAAGTTCTGTATATTTCATCTGAGTCTCGTTTTAGAAGGTCAATATTCACAGTTGCACATGAAAGTATTTGTAAGATATGTGAGACCCAGAATCCATAAGTGATAATTCTTAACTGGCAGGTGGCAAGTAGACAAAGGTTGGGGGGCACAATATTCATCAGTTATCAAAATGTTACAATGTTATGAAAACAGCACTGGGTGCAATTGACAACGATGGCTGGTATGTTCTGCTACAGTGCAATTTGAATTACAGCTACTTAGTAAATTAGAATTCACTGCAAAACTGTTGATTATGATTGATATATTGGGAACAATTTATACAGACACATTGGCTAATGTGGCATAGCAATAAATATATTTTATCCCTGTCTCTGTCATTGTTGCAAACTCTCTCTCTCTCTGCTACCCTGTTAGGTTTTGTTTCCAAAACAAAGCCACATTTGTTTTTCATTTATTTTTGTGTTAATTGTTAGAATTTTTTGTTTAGAAACTGTCCTAATTAAAATATCGCTACAGATGCTAATTGTGTGTTTGCATTCTGGGAACAACATGATTGCTGGATCAGCGTCCATCCAGCTTCTCATGAGGTGTGCGAGGCTGTGAGTCATCGCGACACGACTTCCTGTTTCAGGGTGAACGACAGCATCCTGTTCGTCAACGAGGTGGACGTGCGGGAGGTGACGCACAGCCAGGCCGTGGAGGCCCTCAAGGAAGCTGGTGCCATCGTCAGGCTCTACGTGATGCGCAGGAAGCCGCCGGCGGAGAAGATCACAGAGATCAAACTCATCAAGGGCCCGAAAGGTCCGTGAGCAGCTCCATGTTTGTTCCTGTGGACGGGGGACGGGGGGGAGCACCTGCCCCTTTTGTCTAAATAATTCAATGTGCCCTTCCCCGCTTTTTTTTGAGTGCCCCTGTTTGATCACTGAAGATTATGCAAAATTTACCAAGAGGGACCCTTAATGATGACCGATGATCACTCTAAATGTACTGTTGGGATACCCCCCCCCCCCGGTCTGCTATGCATGATTTTTATTTAATCTCCGGGTTGTTCTCTTTTTCCCCGTGTCAAATAAACCTCCCAAGTCGAATTTTTTTTTATTTAACGTAATATTTACATGCTTTATGATTAAACAATTTCTTGGTACATTTACTCAAAATCCAAACTATTGAGACGGTAAAAACTGTGTTCCTCCCTCGTCTGATCATCCCGTTTAGACAGACCATTTTCACTACCGTTCTGACTCGAAGCAGAATATCTTCTTTTCCGGTTTATTCCAGCGCCGCACCGGAACACTGGTGTACAAAAAAACGCTAATCAAGTAGGAAAACGATTAAGTTGAGAATAATACTTTGTCGTGGAGTTCACCCAGTCTCTGGTGTATCTGCCATCAATATAGCTAGAGGATGATAAACGGATTGCAGACGTATTTTCCATAGCAAAACTGTCCAAACTAGACAACGGCTACATATTCTTCATCGAACAGTATCTGATTGATTATGAAGGTAAGTAGGGCTGAACATTTTATTTATTTCAAATCAAAATCGCGATTTGAATCAGTGCAATTAGCAATTTGAAAAGGCAGCGATTTATGATGTGCGTCTGACCCAGGGTTTAATACTGTCGTGAGAATAGTTTTAAAAATTCTTGCCATCCTCCATGTGTGACAATCATTCTCACCAATCAGAAGGGCCGTGCTTCTCGCGAGCCAGTCATGCTCACCAATCAAAAGTGGCCCAAGGCAACTGCGTATACGCCCACAAACAGCAAACATGTGAAACCCAAGGAAAATTTGTGGTGCAAAAAAATATTGATTCCGCTGCTGCACTATAAGTGAATTACCTACCTATTTCATGGTCAGAGATTGTTTACAAAAAGGTCCTATTATAGGGGTCCAAGCAGTGGTAGCTGCAGGATCCCTATGGTTTTTTTCTTCCTGAAATTGTTTTTATTATTATTATTAATGTGAATAATAATAATAATAATAATAATAATCAGTCACAGCTCTTGTGATAATTTTGTTTGATTGTTCTCTAAGGGTAAAAAAGCATTTGCAAAACAACACTTAAAATGCGCATGTAAAAACACAGTCACTTTACCATGTTTCAGTAGGTAGGATCCGGCACTTTTTTGGCAGATAAATGATCATAAACAGTAATTGTAAGCTATTTTCCTTAAGTTTATAGTAAATTGTTGCAGATAAAAAAATATGTGCTATAATCTGGGAACAGCGTCCACACAGAATCATATGACCATCGTCATCATTTGACTGTAAAAAGTTCAGTTTGTTTAGAAGCTGTTCTTAGTGTTTAGGAATGGGTGTTCAGTAAAAGTTTGCACAGTTACGATTACTTGCAGCTTGATTTTTAAATGTGTATATGGCAAATCACTTAAGATTCGAGGTGTGAACACAAGGGTTCAAAAAAGTAACAAATACTTGTTGGAAGCAATTTGTATCTTTAAGTTCTCATCCTTGCTTTAGAATATAGACCAGTCAATATTTTGATGGTATCTCATGTGTTAATGCTGTATCATATGTATTACATCTGCTACACACTGAATATTGAACTGAAGCTTGACTTTTAAGAAAAATGACATCACAAATCAAATCGCAGTCGCAATATCTGTCAGAAAAATCGATAAAGATAAGTGTTTTCCATTGCGTTAGCAAAGGTTAAAATAACTGTACGGTAGTTAATATTATCAATGTTTTACCTTTCTGATTTGCAACTAAATGGTATTTTGGTCGTATTATGGAGAAAAACGAGGAGGTTTGTTTTCTGCTTTGTGGCGGTTGCTTTTCCAGCAGAGCGGGAAGATGACATGCGCTTCAGTGCCACGGGTCATGCGTCAGAATCAAGTGAAACCTGATACAAAGACGGGTAATGGGTATTGCTACTGCACACGTTTAGAATTAAGTCTGACATCACACTGAACCATGATGTCATTGCTGCAAAACAGAAAGCTAAAATACTGATAATATAAAGTACGGTTATTTTTTGACCTTCGCTAACGCATCTTCACAATCAAATATTGTTCGATGAAGAATTTGTAGTCCTTGTCTAGTTTGGACCGTTTCGTTAGAGAAAATCGCCTTCAGCAAGTCACAACGGAAGTTGTATGACATCATTGTGAAAAGAGTCTATTAGTAGCTTTCTGAAATTGTGTCAAAATAAAAGTCTCCTCTAGAATGATAATCTTTGCATTCACAGAATATTGACTGTCACAGCAGGTGGGCAAGAACCCACCGTGAGCACGTCAGGCACATGGGGTTCCTTTCATTATCCTGTATGTGGGTTTGATGTGTTACGCTTCAGAGGGGGGCGGGAAGCATGTTTGAAGCTGGGAGGGCGACTATCCAAGCGTGATTCTACCTTGTTTCCCAGGCCTGGGCTTCAGTATAGCAGGGGGAGTGGGCAACCAGCACGTCCCTGGAGACAACAGCATCTATGTTACCAAGATCATCGAGGGCGGGGCCGCTCACAAAGATGGCCGGCTGCAGATCGGCGACAAGATACTGTCTGTGAGTCATGGCCTGCCGTGCTCCTCTGGCACTATGTAAATTGGAATGAGCCGTCTTTCATTTTGGGTCACTTTGTGACAAGAGCCCACATTACTAGAAATCACTGACATTTTAATGAAAAACTGGTCAGTTTGCTGTCCTGGGTTTAATTAGTGAAGTATTCCTACCTTGTGCTGTGATGCCTGCAATAAACTCCGGTCCAAACTCTGTCTAGGATAAGTGGTTGGAAAATGGATGGATGGCATGGATGGATGGATGGATGGATGGATGGATGGATGGATGGTCGAATGAGTTTAAGCACCCAAGACTTCTCCTTTTGATCTCTCTTTAGAGAGGAGCTGGGGCGAGTCTAGGATTTTCTTAAGGTGGGGGCATAAAAGGGTCATAATTCATACAAAGGAGCAAAGGACACCTAATGTATGATTAGCCAATGAAATGTTTTGAATCTGTGAGTAACAGGGGTGGGGGGACTCTGGGGGAGGGGGGGCAGTCAGCTTTCAGCTGGGGGCGGGAGGCTATAGGAATACCTGTATCCTGTAAGCCATTGTGTATAATTGCTGCAGTGTGAGCTGGGCTCTGCTCTGTTGTTCTCTGAATCTCAGACGAGTAACTTACTTCTGAATTAGGGCGGGAATGATCTCTGTGAAAGCAGGGGCCGTTCACCATGATGGTGCCGTCCTGAATGTACACTGTCATGTGCCTATAAGGCACCAAGTTGGTGTGCTCTGTAACTGGGCTTGGGGGGCGGATGCAGTCTCACTGTCCTGCAGGTCTGGGTTTTGTCTGAATGCTGAAGTTCTTTTTTGGTGTATGTGTAGGACAGAGGTGGAAAGTTCAGGTCCAGAAAGTAAAAATCCAGACCAAGATTTTGTTCCACCAACCAGTCCTCTGTGACTTTGACTCTATAGATTCAACTACTGTAGATGCTTGAAACAAATCTTGGTCTGGATTTTTACTTTCTGCACCTGAACTTTCCACCTCTGGTGTAGAGGGTATGTGGCTCAGTGAGTTAGGATGCTGTGCTTGTGATCGGAAGGTCATTAGTTCAAATCCCAGGGTTAGCAGAATGTTTTCACCATTGTGATGGTAGACATTCTCAACACGCCCACGTACCCGTGTGCCCAGGTGAACAACGTGTGCCTGGAGGATGTCATGCACGAGGACGCGGTGGCCGCCCTGAAGAACACGGCAGAGGTGGTCTACCTGAGGGTGGCCAAGACCAGCAGCCAGTACCCCATAGAGACCTACAACCCCCCTGACATCACAAGCTGTGAGTCCCGTCATAGCTGTGCGTGTATGTCATGCTGCATGCATGTGAAATGCACTGAACCAATTTAGATTTGCAAAGAACGTATGTTACAGACATCACTGTTCGAGCTGTTGGTTCCTCTCCACAGCCTACTCTCCGCATCTGGATGCAGATATGGGCCATCCAAACTACCTTGTCTCGGAATACCCACAAGCCCTCACTCCCTCATCTCCGCGGAGATACTCCCCCATTCCCAAGGGCATGCTCGGAGATGACGACCTACCCAGGTATGCCTCACTCACTCGCCTCCTCCGGAGCTCTGCAAACCTGTGACGTTCACCCCAACCTGCTGCCCTCCTTGTTCCCTCTTCACCCTTCAGATACCTCTCTGTCGCTCTTTCTCCTCCTCCACCGCTCCCTCTTTTCGCCAGGGAGCCCAGACGAGTGGTCATCCACCGAGGCTCCACGGGGCTCGGCTTCAACATCGTGGGCGGGGAGGATGGCGAAGGAATCTTCATCTCCTTCATCCTGGCGGGGGGGCCGGCGGACCTGAGCGGGGAGCTGCGCAAGGGGGACCAGATTCTGAGTGTGAGCTCACCTCCCCCACATCCCTGCTTGTTTCTCCCACATCTCCATCTCCAAACTTTCTCTTATTACTGTCACTATGGCGACTGCCCATCTTTGTCTCATTTGGTGACTCAACGATGCTGTTGTAGGATCTTATGAAAAGCTGCTTGACTGCTTTAAGTGTCCATTATGATTGGGTGACGAGCGCTGATGGGGTGAAATGAGCTATCATACCAGTGTCTGCTGGGGGAAAAGGGAGCGTATTTGTCCAAACAAGCAGAGTAGTGTCCTCCGTATTTATGTAGTTGCCTCTACTTCAATTAAGTGCACTTTGTTTATTTCATGCTATCAATGTTACAAACGGCACTACAAATACACTACAGTCTATGTAAAAGATGGAGGAGCTTACTCAGGAAAAAAAACAAGTTATTTCCAGGGGTGATTCTAGGTTTTCTTTAAAGTGAGTGACATAAGAGGGGTCATAATTCATACAGAGGGGCCAATCTTATGATTAGCCAATGATATCTTTTGAATCGTTGAGTGACAGGGGAGGAGGTACTCCATGGGCCAATCAGCTTTCAGCTGGGCCCTCTGCTCCTGTAGCCCCACCCCTATCACTCAACAATTCAAAAGATATCATTGGCTAATCATGAGGTTGACCCCACCCCATATGCACCCCTGTTCGTGCCTGAAGCAGCCTTAGCCCTGAGACATGTTAACCTTTACTCCCAGTTACCAAGTCCTTTAGTTGACCCTGCCTAGTTGTGTAAAGAGCAGCCGTGGGTAAGGCCCTACACCTGACTCAGAGTCAGCCTGCTCCTTGACCTGAGTTAAAACAGCAATGTTTAATTGTAAAATGTACTTTTGCCAGGAAGCCAAATGAAACAAACATTCATAGAATGTGGCAGCGAATGAGGCGGAATTCAGAACAAATGAAAAAGACAATAAATGCAAAGAATAGGGAACTCTGTGTGATTATTATAAAAAGTAATTGCTGCTCTTTTTAGACAGGACTCCACATCCTCTTATTATTTCCTTCCTTGATACATTGTTGCTCTCTGAGACTGAAATAGACTGGTACTTATCGTTCCTGTCTCATTATACATAACTTTTATACATTTTAAAAGTAGCCAGTGGAAGTGGTTCATTCTGAGAGCATAAACAAACTAGTAACTAGTGTGATTTTTAAACCACCTTCCATGCCACTTGTGTTCTCAATTTAAACATTGCGAGCCTTTCATAGCAAAATTCAAACAGTGGACCGTGATAATGATATCCACCCAAAAACCATCATTGTGCTCTTGCTATAAAATATCTTGGGAGTTAAAGAAGATTTTGGTCTAGTCACATATATCTTATTGATGTTTTATTCAGAGCACCTTAACATTTAACCAATTACTGCAGCTGGGTATTTCACTGGAGCGATTCAGGTGAAGTGCTTTGCCCAAAGCTACTCTGAGAGCTCCTGGGATTTGATCTGGCAATCACTTTTAAACTTAATCTGCAGCTCCCCAGGGAGTGTCCTTGGAATATTCTAGAATCTAGAAGGATAGGCCCCGGAGTGAATTTGGTCTGATTTCTCGCTGCTTCTGATAAGAACCAAACTCCACCTTTGGTTCTTATCAAGAAGAGCTTTACGGTCCCATATAATGATCTCCAGAACCCTCAAAGCTGATCCCATTTCTCATTGTGTCCTATACTAATACTTAACCATGTTTTACCCTAGGTGAACGGGGTGGACCTTCGGCACGCCACCCATGAACAAGCAGCCGCGGCGCTGAAGAATGCGGGCCAGACCGTCACCATCATAGCCCAGTACAGACCAGAAGGTGAGCCTCCAATGGCACCAGTAACAACACCACAGCAACCAACGCTACAAGCCTTTCAAACGTGTTCACATTCACCATACTCAGGGTGCATTCGATGGTCAGCGTGTGTAATGTGTATGTGCAGAGTATAGCCGGTTCGAGGCAAAGATCCATGACCTGCGGGAGCAGCTGATGAACAGCAGCTTGGGATCTGGAACCACGTCTTTAAGGGGCCTCCCTAAAAGGAGCTTCTACATCAGGTACTAAACCACACAGTCACACCGAGAAGAGCTTCTATGTCAGGTACTAAACCTCACAGTCACACCGAGAGGAGATTCTATGTCAGGTACTAAACCTCACAGTCACACCGAGAGGAGATTCTATGTCAGATACTAAACCTCACAGTCACACCGAGAGGAGCTTCTATGTCAGGTACTAAACCTCACAGTCACACCGAGAGGAGCTTCTATGTCAGGTACTAAACCTCACAGTCACACCGAGAGGAGCTTCTATATCAGATACTAAACCTCACAGTC